TTTGCTGGGTTTTCAGGCTGATTTGAGGAGCTTTTCTCACCTGGGTCCTGAGCCGTGTTGCAGGAGAAAGCCGAGGAGCCTGTTGGCATCCGGCCTTGCCGCTGCTGGTCCCGCAGGACACAGGGCCAAGGTGGGGGGCTTTGGGTATTTGGAGAAGGGAGCTGGGCCCCTGGGAAAGAGAAAGGTCCAGGCTCAGGAAAGGCCCCGGTGGAGCTAGGGTGATGCCCGTTCTCCCCCGGGTCTGGGTCCCACACAGAACCCCAGGAACTTAGTCACCACTTGTGTGCAAAGCCCCAGCCACCTAGGGAAGGATGCCAGCCCGGGTCCCATGCCTCACCCTGAGTTATGATCATGCCTCAAGGGAAAAAAAAAACTAAGGGACAGCACCCAGGCCCTGAGTTCAAACCCCAGTATAGACACACACACACACACACACACACACACACACGCCTGAGTGTTGGAGACCCATGGATTCTGATCGGGCTCCACCCTCGTATGGGCTGTTCATTGCATGGCTTTGACCTTCCTTGCCTTGTGGAAAGGGATGCGTTGGTTCCTCACAGTGAAGGGCAGGTGGATGACTGTGGAAGTACGTTCTCGCCATGTATGTGACACGTAGTTGTGGTAGCTGCTGGCTCTAGTCACTAGTCATCAGCACACTCTGCTGGGCGTCGGGGCGGGAGAAAACCAGAAAGCAGCCAGGTGTGCTGAGTTGAGGGCGCCGGCAGAGGGGCTGCAGGTGCTCAGCCCTCTTGTTTCCAAGTAGGAGGGACCTGAGAGCCTGTTCTGGGCAGACAGAATCCCCGCCATCCACACCCAGGAAAGCTGAACCCCTGTTTTGGAGCAGAAATCCAAGTCTACCTATTGCTTCACAGGCCGGTTCTGGGTTTCTTGTTTTATTTTTGGTCGGTTGTGGGGCTTGAACTCTGGGCTTGGGCGCTGTCCCTGCACTCTTCAGCTCAAGGCAAGTGCTCTATCTTTGAGCCACAGCACCACTTCCGGCTTTCTAGTGGTTTATTGGAGATGAGTCTCACGGACTTTCCTGCCTGGGCTGGCTTTGAACTGCGATCCTCAGATCTCAGCCTCCTGAGTAAGCTAGGATTACAGGCGTGAGCCACCGGCGCCCAGCTCTGTTCTGGGTTTCTTAAGCACACTCAGATTGATGGCCCATTTCTAATAAGCTCCCCAAGGATGCTGTGCTGCAGGTCCACACCAGGATCTGAAATTCTGCAGACTTCCTTCAGCCTTAGGTAAAGCCCAGTGTCTCTGCTACCACCCCCCACCCCCAAGGCTGGCCGGCTAGGGGGTGGCCCCTGGTGGTCACAGTAGGAACTGCAGGCACCTGGAAGCAGATTTGCAGGACTGGGGGTACTAGGGTAGAACCAGGCAAGGGCTAGGATAAGGGGATCAGGATTTGCGCTGGACCACACAGGTTAGGAGGTTACTAGGGAAGACAGGAGCCCTCCCTCCTCCATGTAAGGCTCTTTAGTCCCCCAAGGATCCTGTTGAACATTGGTCCCCATAGATGGGGCCATGGGTGGCAACTTGAGTGACACCTACCTCTTGGTCTCCACCACTAAATGGACAGGTTGCCCCAGGCCCCTGGCTGTCATGGGAGTGTTGCTGTGTCCTGCTAAGGGAAGGGTCATAGGGTCACCTGTATTGAACCTTTGACTGCCAGTGCAGCTGGGAGTAGGCGCACCCCACCCAAGGGCCTGAGGATCTCGTGTCCTTGGGGAAGAAGGACTTGGAGCTGCTTGCAGCTCTGTGCAGAGCACTCTGGCTCTTGTCAAGCACTTTCTTCTCCCTCATTTTCCCCATTATACCCGGAGTTAGACTGGGGCAGAGGGGTGGCCCAAAACCTAGCTGTGTTTTTGAAGATCTGGACAGCTGGATAAAAATCCAATCCCAGAGCCATGCCTCTGGAACTAATGAATTAATTAATAGTATTATTGCTGTTCCTGGGCTCGAACTCTGGGCTTGTGTACAGTCCTTGAGGTCCTTTTTGTTCCGAGCTATCACTCTACCGCGTGAGCCACAACGCCACTTCCGGCTTTATCTGCAATTCTTTGAAGATAAGAGTCTCATGGACTTTACTGCCCAGGCTGCTTCAAATTGCAATCCTCAGACCTCAGCCTCCTGCGTAGCTAGGATGACAGGGGTGGGCCACTTGTGCCCAGCTGGAATTTCTGATTTGGTTAATCTCAGAGGGGTTCTGGGGGTCCGAATTTTCCTGTTTCTGGCCTGGCTTTGTGCACTGAAGATTACGAATCATATATAGATTGTTCCAGAAATGATCCAAGCCCATCCATGACATTGTTGAGTTTGTTCTGCCCAGAGGGGAACCCACATGGGAAAACATGGCATCTGACGCCCCAGGTTGTGGCTCTTGGCTTCTCATGTGCTCCTTGGAGTCAGGGCCACCCTTTCTCATGTTGATCAAAAAGAACTTAAGTGCATGCAACACTATTACCGACTAGCCACTGCTCAGGGAGTGACGCGCACCATCAAATCAGTCCCCACTTGGATACTGTGATAGCACTTATATGACCTGCCCATGGCCACTCTGCTGGCCAGGGGTGGCATCAGGAATAGAACTCGGCTCCAGAGCCCCAGCACATAACCACAGCACCACAGGACTTCCAGAACTCAAGGATCGTCTGTGTGACTTTGAGAACCCCACACGGCCCAGCCTTGCAGAGAGAGAGGGGGGAACTCAGCATCCTGATAGCCATGACCGAGAGAGGTTTCTTGTCTCTAGGTGTCTGCGCAGCTGTGTCGCACCCCCTGCACCTGTCCTTGGCCACCACCCCGCTGCCCGCAGGGGGTGCCCCTGGTGCTCGATGGCTGTGGCTGTTGTCGGGTTTGTGCGAGGAGACTGGGGGAGTCCTGCGACCACATCCACATCTGCGACTCCAGCCAGGGTCTCGTCTGCCAGCTCGGGGCAGGCCCTGGCAGCCAGAGGGGCGTGTGCCTGGGTAAGCAGGTTTGCGGGATGGAAGGGGGTAGCATGGGGCTGGGGAGGTCGAGGCTATGGAGCTGGGAATCAAAGGGCAGCCTCCGCATGGGGGGAGTTAAACCCTCAACCTGTTAGTCAGGGCCTGGTGTGTGTCAATGTCCACATCACAGAAGCTCTTTGGCAATCTCCAACAGACCCATTCTGCAAGTGGGGAAACTGAGGCCCAGCAGCATTAGCTGACATGGCTCACAGCTTGAGTTCTCTTCAGACAGGTGTAGCAACATCCCACTGTGACCTGGCTGGCCCCAGGAGCTGCGGTGCACAGGGTCACTCTGGGACCTTGAGCAAGGACACACTGTCTTGTAGGCCTGGGCATCCTCTAATGTCTTCAGGCAGGATTTCCAAGTGTGCAAGTGCTGCCCTTGGTGGGGTGCTTCTTTGCTGCAGGGCCTCTGTGGGGCAGGATGGTTCCCACAGACAAGGTACAGCAGGGGCCCAACCCAGGCCAGTCCCCCCTGCCCTGCCCACCCAGCGCCAGGGTGGGGACGGCTTGCTAGGTCCTGGGCAGGCAGCTCAGGCTGGGGGCGGCACCGCGCATGGGCCTAGATGCGGTGGGGGCGTGGCCTCCCAGGGTCCTGGGGTCTCCAGCAGGTCCCTCGCTGCTCTGTCCACAGTGGGGGACGATGATGATGGAAGCTGCGAGGTGAACGGGAGGCTGTACCGGGACGGGGAGGCCTTCCAGCCTCACTGCAGGATCCTCTGCCGCTGCGAGGACGGTGGCTTCACCTGCCTGCCACTGTGTCGTGAGGACGTGCGGCTGCCTAGCTGGGACTGCCCCCGGCCCCGCAGGGTGGAGGTCCCCGGCCGGTGCTGTCCTGAGTGGGTGTGTGACCAGGAAGTGGGCCTGGGTGAGTATGTAGTGCTGACCATTGCCGTGGCCACTGGGTGGTGGGGACGGGGGGGGGTGGCCTGGCTTCTAAGGGACCAGGACGATATGGGGACATGTTAGACGTTGGGAGGGGCTGGCGAAGAGGAGAGATGCTGAAAGCCAAAGGTCACCAGGCTCCTGTAAGTGGGCAAAGAGGCTCAGTGGATTCGGTGTAGCATTTCAAATCTCAGAGAATTAAAAGTGAAGCCAGGCCTGCCATCAGTGACGCACGCCTGTAATCCTAGCTGAGACCTGAGGGTTGCGGTTCAAAGCCAGCCCAGGCAGGAAAGTTCTTGTGAGACTCTTACAAAACTATCAAAAGCCGGAGGTTGGGCTGGAGGGATGGCTCGAGATGGTTGAGTGCCTGACTGGCAAACGTGAGGCCCTGAGGTCAGACCCAAGTAGTACCAAAGATAAATAAATAAAATGAAAAGCTGGAAGTGGAGGTATGATTCAAGTGGTAAACTGCTAGCCTTGAGCCAAAGAAGCTCAGAGACAGCACCTAGGCCCTGAGTTCTAGCCCTGGGAGAAGAAGAAGAAGAAGAAGAAGAAGAAGAAGAAGAAGAAGAAGAAGA